ATTGTTTCCTTCAATATCGTCGGTATGATGAATTCATTTTCAATTTACATGAAATTGTTGAGTATATGGTGTAGAAGAAATTAAATATACACCAAGAAACTCTTTTATTATATTACCAACAAACTCATACTCAAGTAAATATAAATAAAAAAGCACATAGACAGACATGAATACAAAACCTTAACAATATTTGACTCTCATTACAAATAATACGAACTCTTGTCTCATTTATATCTTTTCTACCTCAAATAAGGCGTTTCACCTTTTATATGGTCTTTCACCCCTCAATAGATGGCTTGGATCAACTTGATCCAATAACATCATTAGCTTTCTAAAATATTATTAGAATACACTCATATTTTCACTATGTTCTAGAATTCTTTAAATTATTTTAGTACATAGTGGAGTTTTCTATACTTTTCTAGAATGCTCTAGAACCTTTCAGAACCTTATAGATTTAAAATTCTCAAAGCTTCTTCAATGTTAATTCTTTTAGGATGTTTTAGAATCTTCTCAATTCTTCTAGATTTATGTGGAAGTCTTCTAGATTTATGTGGAAGGAACAAGCAGTCATTATGTTCTATTGAGCATATAAAATAGCAGACTGGGAAATCATGTCATTAGCGTGTGTCAGATACAACCATTCATCAAACCATATAGTTATGATTCAGGAACTCTACAAGATTATTATTAAAGCCCAAATTTCACGTCTTTATACAAACATACATATGTACATATATATATATATATATAGAGAGAGAGAGAGAGAGAGAGAGACTTGTGGTTAGAAGTTGAGAAATAGATCGTTCGGAAGAGGATTTGATGAGTTTGAATTGTTATGGAAAGGTTGAAGCATGTTTGTGAAAGATTCAAGAGAGAGTGAGCGCGCGCGCGCTAGAGAGAGAGAGAGAGAGATTATTCATTGATCAACAGATTAGCATGTTTGCATTTGTTCAATTTGTTGTTCAGTAGATCAGAAATTGAACATATATATATATATGTGTGTGTGTGTATGTGTATGTGTATGTGTGTTTGCATCTTTTTTCTCTTCTATCTTTCTTATTTAAAATTTCTAGGGTTTTGGATCCATTGTTTATTAATCTGAGCTTTTCAAAATGAGAATACCAAGTCTTAAAAGAAGGTCTCTGATGAGCAGTTAACCAGATCTGAATCCGAAAGTGAAAGGTTTCTTCGGTGATGATCGGTTGTTTGAACAGATAAAAAATGAACAGATAGAAAATTTGAACAGATAAAAAAATTTCAACATATAAGAATTTTTTCAATAGATAAAAAATTTGAACAGATAAAAATTTCAACAAATAAAAAATTTGAACAGATAGGAATTTTAACAGATAGAAATAATTTCAACAGATAGTCAACGAAAAGTCAAATAGATTAAAAAAAGTCAAGGGCTAAAATTGGAAACAAAATATTCTTCAGAACTTCTCACCAAACTATTACACAAAGTGTGGACCTATCATCAACAAAAAATATCACTTGGACGTAATGTTTTATACCATCCTTATATTGGATTTATCACCAATTAACCCTAAGGTTAATTGTTTTTTCTTTAAAATTTCAATGAGTGTAATTTCCTTAATCTATTTGGTTTGGAGTTTTTAAAAGTAGTTTTTTGAATTTTTAAATCATATATTTTATATTTTTAGTAATTTTTTAAATATTTTAATTATTATTATTTTTTTACTTTTTAGATCCACTTAGTCTCGATATACTTAAAAAGTATAAAATTTGTACAAATATTTTTTTTAAAAAATTTGAATACAATAAAATACGAAAATGTATTGAATTTTTATTTTATTTTTATTTTTTGTATTTGATGAATCTAGAAGAATCTAAAACAATTTAAAAAGTTCTAAAGAATTTTGAAAGGCTTTAGAACACCCTAGAAGACTGTGAACCATAATATAAATTTTGAAAGTTCTAGAAGACTTTAGAAAGTTAGGATAATCTAGAAGACTTTATACAGTTTTAGAGAATTTTGAAAGGCTTTAGAAAATCCTAGAACAATCTGAAACATGGTAGTAATTTTGAAATGTTTTCCATATCATATGATTGGGTTTGTTTGTAAACCCTTATTTTAGAGTAAATATATACAATCTTGGAATTTTAACAACACACACCTATGAGAAAACTTCAGAGGAATGACTCTTTATGTTAGGACAAATAAGGGTGGTCTAGTAATTTGGTTGTTGCTTAAAATACACTTCCAAATTCAAGTTGAAAAAATTGCACTCAAAGCACAGATGAAATTCATCATTTAATAATTGCCCCTGGATCTTTCATACAGCTTGTATTTGGTTGCCTTGCCAGCTTCCATGGAACAACAATATATATCTAATGAGTTGCCAAGTCGAACTAGCATAACACAAGCCACTAACATTAAGAGTCCAGTTTATTTATACCCAATCCAGCATCAAGGAATTTGGGGTACTAGTTATATATATTACAATATTCTAGGTTTTCTTTTAGGCCATATCCAAATTCTTAGAACATTTATAGTAGGCTATTTAGCTTCAAGAGCCCTGTCCAAAAGGTGCAAAATCCATTCACTATATCTCTTATACAACCAATGGGGTTTGGTCCAAGTGGAAAGAGATTTGGGTCGCTTAAGCAAAGGTCTCAAGTTCGAGCCTTTGTGGACCCCGCATTTGCGCCCGGCAGCTTCTTCGGCGGATTAGTTCTGGGTCCAAAAAACCTGGGGATACCGTGGGAGACCAAAAAAAAAAAAAAATCTCTTATACAAAGATAGAGGCCCCTAATTATTTCAGTTATCAATCCATAAAAAAATAGATTTACAATTACATGTTTTAGAAAAATGATTCATCCCCTTAATTTAATCCACAAAATTATTTCAGTTATCCATCCATAAAAAAATCTCTTATACAAAGATAGAGGCCCCTAATTATTTCAGTTATCCATCCATAAAAAAATAGATTTACAATTACATGTTTTAGAAAAATGATTCATCCCCTTAATTTAATCCACAAAATTTAGTGTAAAGCTGCTTACGTTATTGGAAGTGGAATTGGAAGCCTTAATTAGGGAATATTGCAGGATTGCATATTTTAATTAGATAGGTTGCCCTCCCCAATAATCTCAGGTTGAATAATTTCTCTAATAAATTAAAGGGACTAGCAGTGTAATTTACCTTAGTAAAGGGTAAACAATAATAAATCCCGTTAAATTATTATTCCAAGAGCCCTGTCCAAAAGGTGCAAAATCCATTCACTATATCTCTTATACAACCAATGGGGATTGGTCCAAGTGGAAAGGGATTTGGGTCGCTTAAGCAAAGGTCTCAAGTTCGAGCCTTTGTGGATGCAGCAAACCCCCTTAGGAGAGGACCCCGCATTGAGCCTTTGTGGATGCAGCAAACCCCCTTAGGAGAGGACCTCGCATTTGCGCCCGGCAGCTTCTTCGGCGGATTAGTTCTGGGTCCAAAAAACCTGGGGATACCGTGGGAGACCAAAAAAAAAAAAAAATCTCTTATACAAAGATAGAGGCCCCTAATTATTTCAGTTATCAATCCATAAAAAAATAGATTTACAATTACATGTTTTAGAAAAATGATTCATCCCCTTAATTTAATCCACAAAATTTCATCCTTATGACGTGGAATTAGGGAGGCTAAAGATGAGAGAGAGTAGTGTAAAGCTGCTTACGTTATTGGAAGTGGAATTGGAAGCCTAATTAGAAAAATGATTCATCCCCTTAATTTAATCCACAAAATTTCATCCTTATGACGTGGAATTAGGGAGGCTAAAGATGAGAGAGAGTAGTGTAAAGCTGATTACGTTATTGGAAGTGGAATTGGAAGCCTTAATTAGGGAATATTGCAGGATTGCATATTTTAATTATATAGGTTGCCCTCCCCAATAATCTCAGGTTGAATAATTTCTCTAATAAATTAAAGGGACTAGCAGTGTAATTTACCTTAGTAAAGGGTAAACAATAATAAATCCCGTTAAATTATTATTCATTTGAACTTTGCCTTTCCAAATTTTAAAATTTAACCATTAATTACTTCGAAATATTATCTTATTACACTTAACACTTTTTGTTAAGATTTTGTTACAAATTTAAATGGAATTAGGTCATTTGTGAAGCACACGACACACTTTTTTAAGAACGATAATCCATGTTATTAATTTTTTTAGGATAATAACACTTTTATCTGATGATCTCATTTACACCTTGTCTTCCTTATTTAAAATACTTTTATCTATTATTAATGACAAGGTGCAAATAGAATTACCAAATAAGGGTATTATTGCCCCTTAAAAACCAATAAATATGTCATGTGTTTTATACATGTTTTGATTTTGTGTAAGTCACTAACAGAATCCTAACATAAAAAGTTAACAATAACAAGATAATAATTTGAGTAAGGATGATCATTTTCCTCCATCGTACTTTGCATCTCCCATCCTGTCCTATATAGTTTTTTCCACCTTGATTAAGAAGTAGGATGGGAATGAGTTTTGCATCCCCGTTCCGTTTTACTTGAAACCTGTCCCGATTATATTTAATAAAATATAAATTATTTTAGTATAAATTATTTTATACTAAAATATAAATAAATTTAATAATTATTAAATTATTAAAATATTATAATTATTTTAGTATAAATTATTTTATTTTAGTATAATAAAATTACAATACTGAAATATTATATTTAATATTAATTTTTACTCATTTATTTGCTATTAAATATAAATTATTATTCATAACATACAGTATTATTATTTACTATTAAATATAAATTATTATTCATAACATACTATATTATCTATAATTTTTATTAATATTCTCATTCTTCAACTTACAAAATTAACTTATCTCCCATCTCGTTCCCGTCAACCCTCATCCCAAATATGTTATAAAGTGGGGACGGATTACTATAAACTCGTCTTGTGACCATCCTTAAGTTTGAAGTAGTTAATTGTTGAGTTTTAAAATTCAGAACGATAAAATGAAAACGATTCATAGTTTAAAGAGGTTTATTGTAATTTATCGAAAAATAAATGGCCAAATGTAATTTGACGAAAGAAATTGTTGCAATGGGACTCCCTCTTCGTTTGGAACCTCCCTCCGATCTACTTCTCTCTCTCTCTCTCTCTCTCTCTCCATACATATACACCCAAATCGAAGATGTATATCATCCCTCTCGAATCTGGTCCCTGTCCTTCTTCCGAGCGGATCATCTATCTCAAACTCACCGATCGCCTCTTGCTCGTTGTCGCTCCTTCTCATTTGGAGCTCTGGAGCTCTTCCCAGGTCTCTCTCTCACTCACTCTCTCTCTGTCTCTGTCTCTCTCTCTCTCTCTATCTCTATTCGATATCACTTAATTGATCTGCGTTGGTTATTGTGGTGAATTTGAATTTTTGGATTTGAAGTTGATGATGTTTGGCGAGTAGTTTTGAGTTTTGATATTTTATGATTTGAATTCAGCACAAGGTGAAACTGGGGTAGTACAAGAGAGATTCGGACTCGATTCAGAGAGGAGGAGAGAATATACAGGCCATTTGGAGTCTGTATGCCAAATTGATTGCTGTTCTTGTAGGCGGTGATCTTTGTCCCTTGCATTGTACTCCTATATGTTTTTTTTTTTTCCCTTAATTATTATGGATTACATTATAATCTTTATGATTTGTTGTGAATTGTGATAATTCTTGTGCTGCTAATGTAGATACACGTTGAAAAATGTTAAAATGTGGATTAGGACTAGTGAGTTGATATGTTGAAATAATGTTAAGATGGATGAAGTGGATGAGGATTTAACTTTATTGATCACTGCTAGTGGAAAGACTACCTTTAAAACTTACCTAATGGAAGTCGAAATTTATTTCCCATATTTTTGGGTCTTAAATTGAATGGTAATGGAGTGAATGCCATTAGCAGGTTATTGTTCATTCTTTGGCCAGTGCAATTTGGTTTGACTTTTTTTTGTCATAAATGTTTCCTATTGGTCCAAATGACAATTGTATGTCAAAAAGTGCAATCCATGAGTGTTGTAACACTTGTGATTATTGAATTCGAATGTACTTCATAATCTAAAATTATAGACATTCAATTTTAAAAGATGTGACGATGCCTTTTCGTTGCTTGCCTTATTTTTGTAGACCCCTTCTTCCTATCTTCACATATTTAACGTCCAGTTCACGGAAGAAAGAATACAAATTGGAGGGAAGCAACCATGTGGGTTGTTTCTTGCAACTATTTCTATACTCCTCAGTGAGCAGGTGTCATTCTCAAATAAGGAATTAGCAACTTAATCCATAAGTCGTTTAATTGCTGATTGTTGCATGTGTTCAGTCTCTGTTTTGAGTTCAACTATCTGCTATAGTTTATTTTCGCAAAGCACCACCCAATCATCAAAAAAGGAATGGCACAGTTGCAAGCTCTGTGTTTCATCAGGGCTTGTTCATTTTTAGGTTGGATGGATGGGTGGGTGGGTAAAGGGGGCTAGGCACTATCTTGTGTTTGGAGATCTTTAAGCGACTTCTGAAACTAGCTTTAATGATTCGTAGCCCCAATAGTGTTTGGAGATCTTCGAGTGACTTCTGAAACTAGCTCTAATGATTCCTAGCCCCAATAGATTAATCTATTTGAAGGATTTTTTCGTTCCTTTCAAAACATCTCTCTGTTCTATTTCATATGGACTGATGCTTTTGGATTTTTGTGGGATTTGATAATTTATAAAAAGTCGTCCTTTAGGGTGTCAAATCCTGATTTCAGTAGAGATAGTCTTTTGCTAGCTTTTAGGGCAGCAATTTCTGTAGGTCTATCTTGAAGGGGCGGAGGGTGCTGTTCTTTAGTTAATAAGGTTAGATTGGTTGGAGAGCTGTTTCAAGAATAGGAGCAGGTAAACTATTTGTGGAAGGGATCAGGACAAAGTGATGAGTACAAATGGATTTACAATTAGGACTGGGGGAATTTGAGGGAGAACTTGTTTGAGAAATTTGAGCAATGTACATAAACTCGAGGATTTATCTCTTAGCCTTCTCTGTGATTTCTATGTGGTCATTGACTCATTGCCAATTTTGTTGCTAGAGATTTGTGGCATTCTCAAAAACTACTTACAAGGTTGAGCAGTTGAGAAAGCTTAGGAATGGTGTTGATATGAGGGTTCAAAAGCCACTCACCGTGTGCCAGCTCGGTACCTCTGAGAGTGTCAGCCCAGCACAAAATTAGCCCATTTTGGTTCGTTTTTAGGTCTAATTTCAGGGAAGCATCTTGGGCACATTCAAACTCTGTTTATGCCATCGAGATATCAAAAAGCTTGGAGACTTTGCTTTATTCTCCAGCTGGTTTCAACATCAAATATGTAGTCTTTTTTGAGTTATGGCCATTTTACCACCTCAGGAGGTAAACCAGTCATTTTCATAAAATGCTCATAACTCTTTTATTTGAAATTGGATTGAAGCTCATTTTTTATGCACGGAAAGCTATTTCAAGGTACTAAAGAATAATTCTTAAAAATGAGTAGTTTTGCACATAAAATAATGGCCAAAAAGTAGATCTTTTTGGAGGGCACCTTGGGGTATTTTATCATTTTGCATGTTTCACTTTTTTAGCCAATTTCTAGCCTAGGGAACTGTTCCAAAGGGCATTATGATTTAGTTTTTGTGGCTGTAGGTTGGTGAGTTTGTTTGGATGCACAGAAAGAGTAACAGTTTTTAGTTATAATTAAGCAAAGAAAAGCAAAGTTTTGGGAACTGTGAATAGTAACAACCGCGTTTAAGTCTTGGTGTTCTGCCGGTGCCTAGATTAAGTGGTTGAAGGACAGATATTGGCATTGTTTTGGAGGTGTTTGGTGTGTGAGAGTTTAGGAATATGGTTCTGGGACTTTTGTGAAGTGCTGTCTTTAAGGTTTTAATTGTTAGAGAGAAGGAGAGTTGTTGTGCAGGGAAAGTACTAGGGCTATGAAAGATGAGGCTTACGGTGTAGGATAGTGTTTTTAAAGGCTTAAGGCGTACTAAGGCGCTGAAGGTCTCTCAGGGCCTAGGCACAAGGCACAAGGTGAGGCTTGGGCTTTATTGAAGCAAGGAGCACAATCTTAGTAAAAAATAGATAAATTAATATAGACTAATCATTCATAGTACTAAGAAAATTTTTTTTTTTTTAAAATAAAAAGTAATTAGATAAATTATAGAATAATTCTCAAAGCCATAAAAGTGCATATTACATAGCATTCCAATTTTCAAAGATAAAATAATTCACATTAAAAAAAAAAATGAAAAAAAGAAAAAAAAAACATAAACACTTATCCAAAACATAAATATCCAACAAATACTAAGGCATGTCTTAACACTTCAAAACATCAATATCATAAGAAAGGGTAGGTTAGGTCAGTCAATCATCATCCTCAACATCAATGGCAAGCAAACCATCATCTTCTTCTTCTCCATCAGTTGATTTATATCTCTTAATATCTTCCTACTCTGTGTCATCTGTGCCCGCCTCCTCCTCATCTATTAATTGAAGTGGAGTTAATTTTGATGATTTAGATATTCTCGGTTGTGCCTTTGAGCGTGAACTTCTTGTTTTACTTGCATGATTACTTTCTTCTACTCCAGAATCTCTAGCAACAGTGGCCCACGTCAAGCCATCATCATCATCATCAAACACTGGCTCATTATTTTCATCTGATTCTCCATCATCCTCCCAAGTAACCACTCATTGCTTTCATCAATATTTTGCAAAGATATGGGATCAAGAGTGTTGCGCATGTCATATCTAGATCTCAATGTTCTATTATATTTGACAAACACTAAATCATTGAGGCGACGTACCAATCTATTTCTTTTTCTTGCCATGAAGCTGCAAGTATTAAAAAGATATTAAATTCTATATAATGAGAATAAAAAATATTGAAATTCACCAAAAAATAGTTAGAATGTTAAATACTCACATGTTCAAATACACTCCAATTTTGTTCACAACCCGATGACTACATGTTAGGCTTAAGGACTTTTATGGCAAAAGTTTGCAAGTTTGGGGTTTTAGAACTATATGATGCCCACCAATCAGCTGCAATAATCACTAGTTAGAAATAATTGTTACCAAGTATTGAGTTTTGCTAAAAGTATTACTAAAATAAACTCTATGAGTCTATAATATATTACTTGGTGCCCTTGTATTTCTTTGCCTAATCGCAACAGGCTTGCCAAAAAGGCTCTCAGCATTCGTATAAATACTCATCTCACTAGTGATCAAATCTTGAACAGTGACATTTGGGACCAACCCATTCATAAAACCCATTCATCACTTCATGATCTTTTTGCACCTCTAATGCTTTTGGCTAAAAGAATTCTGGGTTAAGAAAGTGCGCAGCTACATGTAAAGGCTGATGCAATTGGATATCCCACCTTTTGTCAATGATTTTGAAGATTTCATCATATTTATCTTCTTTATGATCAAACGAACTTGCAATGCATTCTTTTGCCCTATCCATTGCTTCATAAACGTATCCCATGGGAGGTTTCTTCTCGGTATCAACCAATCTAAGCACTTTGACGAGAGGACCCGAGACCTTAAGGGCAAACACAACATTATTCCAAAATGAAGGCATCAACAAAGTTTGTGCCATTCTTTTACCTTGTGGCTCTTTTGCCCATTTGCTTGAGGTCCAGTCTTCGGAGGTGACCGTCTTTCTCAAATTATTTTTTTGTTGCATCCTAGACAAAGTCAGAAAGGAGGTTGCAAATCTAGTTTTTGTAGGCTTGATCAAATTCTTTAGATTTGTATAGCGCCTCATCATGTTTAGCAACGTAGGCTGGTTGTAAATGTAGCCATGTACTGCAATGCCTCTTTCAAATGTCTTTTTCAGTCGGGGTATCTTGAAAATGTCTTCTAACATCAAGTCCAAGCAATGAGCAGCACATGGTGTCTAATACAAGTGTTCATACTTGGCTTCCAAAAACCTCCCTATAATGTAACAATTACAAAGAATTATTATTTTCAAGTTTTTAAATTTTAACTACAAAAAAAACTATGAGTAAACAATTTTGAAGTAAGGAAGGAGGAAAAATTCTTACTCGCCAACATATTAGCTGCAGGCTAGCCTACAGCACTATCAGTAATAACCTGCACCACATTCTCTTTTCCAACTTTTTCCACAAACTTGTTTAGTAATTCAAATAGCTTCTGCCCATCCTTTAAATAGCTAGAAGCATCAACCGACTCAACAAACATGGTTCCTCTGGGACAATTTACTAAAAAGTTAATCAATGTTCTCCCTCTCTTATCAGTCCAGTCATCAGCCATTACGGAACACCCGTATTTTGCACAATCCTCTTTATGATTCTTTATCAAATCTTTAGTATGTTTCACCTCTTTTTTGAGTTGGGTAACCCGCACTTTGTGATAAGTTGGTGGCTTCATACCGGGACCATATTGTCCAATGGCTCCAATCATTGGTCCAAAACTCTCATAATATATAGCATTGAAAGGGATACCAGCATCATACATCCACCTTGCAAATCTTTGCACTGCCTGAGCTCTCATTTCTTTTTTGTAAGGGTCATTCTCATCAATTTGTGTTTGCTTCCCTTTTGCTTGGTC